GTAGTGCATCCTGAGCGTCGCCTAAATTGCTCGAAATCTCGAGAACCGCTTATCAGAACCTATCGATGTGGGGTCGGAAAATGGAGCTGACGATGAGATCTTGTGGGGGACTAGAGTGTTGAGCTTCTGCAAAAGCTTGGAAATCGTAAAATAGCCACCAACTCGGCTCGCCGCGGTGCACTACTATTAGAGAAAATACGGTAATTCGATGATATTTGATATGATATAAGAGAACATAAGTTTGAAACAAAAAAAAGAAAAAGAAAAACATAAGAAACTATGAAAAAGCTTGATATCTTTAGAATTTTAAATGTTTCCCCGTTTCCTTTTCTTTTTTTTCGCAATTCTCGAAATGATTCCTTGATAGAAGGTGGCTAAGCTCTGTGTGACATTTGAAATTTTAGCTTTTTAAAGACAATTTCAAGATAAACTCTTAAAGATAGACTTTCGTGGAATAAAAACATTTCCGTAAAAGTTTCCTTTGGCTTGTCGTTTCGGAAATTGGTCATTTACCATAGATCCTTCGATAAAGTTAGAATTTTTTTATTTTTCAAAATAAAATCTATACTAATCTTATAGAATTTCAAATAATATTTCAATTTTATTCAATTTTATTCACGAGAGATTTTAGAAGCGACTGCAGCGAGGTCAATGTGTCGAGGAGTGCGCGTCGAGGATGAATTCACCTGGTTGTGCGGGTCAGACAAATTCTCATCAGTATAAATTCTATAGATAAATAGATAGATAGATTTTTCATTTTTTCATTTACCCTAAAGTCGTGAGTATAAGTTCTGTTTGGTTTTCGCATGCAAATTGACGGCTGTCTCCGGTGCGGTGTATCGAGGGTTCGAACCCCGCTGCAGCATAACTTTTTTGCTTTTTAAGAACAATAATAGAAGTAAATTTATTGAGGGTTATAGCAATTTTATGCTGTTATTTGTTGCTCCGGGCGTGGCTCGGCGCGTCCGCCCTGCTCCTCTCCGGTGCTCAGTCTTCTGGATCCCTCCCTGGCCTCTTCATCCGGCCAAAGTCCACGTCGACGGTCGAAAGAGATGCTTTCCAGCGTCTTCTTCAACACTATCGTCTGGATGTATCCATGCACATAACAAATAGCAATGGTGATAGGCTGTCACCCTGTAGTATCCCAGCGCTCCAAGAACAATAATAAAAGTTTATATAACAATAAAAATGTATAAAAACCCAACAAAAAGAAATTCAAAGCAATTAAAGCGAATGTAAATTAAGGCAAAACTTATACTCGAGACCTTATACTCGAGACCTTATACTCGAGACCTTATTCTCGAGACCTTATACTCGAGACCTTATACTCGAGACCTTATACTCGAGACCTTATACTCGAGACCTTATACTCGAGACCTTATACTCGAGACCTTATACTCGAGACCTTATACTCGAGACCTTATACTCGAGACCTTATACTCGAGACCTTATACTCGAGACCCAAGAGTTTTCTGTTTGATAATTACTAGTTGAGTATTCGCAACTTTTCGGGTTTAATTTTCACTCACTGTAAAACGAAACAAAATTTTAACTAGAAGTACCCTAAAGTCTCGAGTATAAGTTCTGTTTGGTTTTCGCATGCAAATTGACGGCTGTCTCCAGTGCGGTGTGTCGAGGGTTCGAAGCCCGCTGCAGCATAACTTTTTTTTGCTTTTTAAGAACAATAATAAAAGTTTATAACAATAAAAATGAAAGAAAGAAGAAAATTTTCCATCAGAGCCCTTTAAATGTAAATTAAGGCAGAACTTATACTTAAACTTACTCGAATGAACTTGTACTCGAGACTTTAGGGTAATCAATTAAAATTTAAAAGAATTTTATCAAATTTAAACTAATTAACATTTAAATCAATTAGCTTTAGATGAGATTTCAGTTTTTGGATGCGAAATCGATCGATCGTGATCACGTTGGCCTCGTTGCAATTTGTGGTTGCTTGTTTTGCTTTCTCGCAACACATTTATTCTGTAGCTAGTTTTAGAAAAGTAAACACAATATTTTCAGTAAAGAAATATTACAATTTTCACAGATTTTCGCTTGTAATTTCAATCAAACAATAATGGCAAACGCATCATTTCTCAGCTATGATATCATCATTTTCGATTTTGGTCTTTTCCACGAGTTGATCCAAGTGAGTCAATCAATTTTTAGAAAGCTCGATGAAAAATAAGTAAAAATTGAGCTTATTGTACGGTATTTGTAGTATCAAATAGAAAATAGCAATAAAAAATAGTCAAACAACGATTTGCTCAAAGTGTTCAAAATTATTTTCTTTCGTTCTTGAACGTTGACCGAATTCTATTTTCTATTGTGTATTATGTATTGAAAAGGGGATAATAGATCTTTATCTAGAGCTTTATCTAGAGCTTTATCTAGAGCTTTATCTAGAGCTTTATCTAGAGCTTTATCTAGAGCTTTATCTAGAGCTTTATCTAGATCTTTATCTAGATCTTTATCTAGAGCTTTATCTAGAGCTTTATCTAGAGCTTTATCTAGAGCTTTATCTAGAGCTTTATCTAGATCTTTATCTAGAGCTTTACCTAGAGCTTTACCTAGATCTTTAACTAGATCTTTAAATTCTATATATAAAATTCAGGTTCAAGAATGTATTGCAAATTATCTTGATGGTGGATACATGCGGTGTTTATGGTGTCTCGGACAAGCCGCCGCTCTCCTTCTTGCTCTTCTTGTTTGCCTATGTGTTCGGTAAAAAATGAAACAATCAAACAATCAAACAATCAAATAACAATCATAACATACAATAAAACCATTGAAATTTTAACAATAACTAGAAGTAAGGACGAAAAATCTTCGATTTAGAAACGCTCATCCGCTTTCCCTGTGGCCATTGTTGATCATGCAGAACGCGTACTGTTTCGGTTTAGTGATTTTAACGATTGGTAAGCTATTTGAGCTTCTGTTTTTCTATTCTATAAGTCATTCAGATCATTTTGTTTAGATAAAATGATCTGAATCAATTATAGAATTTAAAAAAAAGCATTACAACTAACAATTCCGATGCCGAGTTACACCTGTATTTCAGCAACAGCCGACAAGCTGCTTGTCTCGATTTTGCATCCGATAAATCCCCGTCTGAATCTTTTAATTCTCTACTATGGAACGGGCACCGGTTTAAATCATCTTTTTTGCTATATTCTTTGGCATTACTATTGGTTTGAGGAGTATCAATTCACTGCTCGAACTGGAAAACATGTGATCCCGTTTTGGGTTTAAATCCTGAAATTCTTTCATTTCATTTTTCTCTACTTTCTTTAGGTCTCAATTTTATCCACTTTTCAATTTTGATTCCACTTTGAAAAACGATCTTTTTTTTGTATCACGGGTTTCTATATTCTGATTTTCCTTATATGACAACGAGTATTTTTCCGTTAATAAACGTTTTTTTTTTTGCAGAATATTGCAATACTTATATGGAAAAGGCAAACCCCGGCGGTCCCTCTGGAACAATATTTAAACTATTTCAAGGCGAAAAACCTCGAGGCTCATAAATTGTATTCGGGAGAGCTGGGCGCACTTTTGGTCGCAGCATAAATCTGCGAGGAGAGCTGCCACGCGAGAGAGAAAGACAGCCAGCCTGATAGCACTCTTTCTGCTTCTCTTTTTCGTTTTCTGAAAAGAGAAAAGATTGCGAGTTCGATCATGGAACATCCCAATGTGAATGTTCATGTGAAAAGTGTGTTTCAATGTCTATTTAAAAAGTGGCACCGTTTCCTTGATTGATTCTCTTCATGAACGGTTACCAAAGGTTTTTTTGTAAGATTTGAGAGAATAGTTATGATTTAGAATAGTTCACGTCTTTAGCTACCTTTTATACGGCAACAATGTTTCTAAACGCTTTAGAAACATTGAGCAGATCAAGGTCAACTAACCCGTAAGGTTCAGCTGCCCTGGCCTTTTAAAACCCTCGAGCCCTTTGCAGCGATGGCCGAGTGGTTAAGGCGCTTGACTAGAAATCAACTGGAGCCTTCCCCAGTTCCCAGGTTCGAATCTTGCTCGCTCCCAGAGCTTTTAGTATAAAGAGTTAAACTTAAAATTAGCTCTTCAGCATTTTTGTACTGTAATTGCATTTTCATTTGAGAAACCTCTTCATTAGCACACAACAAATTTCCATAGAAAAAAGATCGCTAGGCAAGAAAATTTGAAGCCAAATCGGTTTTAACGTTTGACGACAAGAGACGAGAAAAAAAATCATATAAATTGAACAATCACAAATGCTCACAAAAAAGGAGACGTTAATTAGTGAAAAAAAGGAGAGTAAAGAGGCTGGATGACTCAAAATTAGTTTATTTGTTTTTCAAGGAATAGGTAAAGCCATAATCTCACAAGCTGACAAAATTTTTTATAACATTATATTAAAATTTATGGAGATTAATGGTTTTACAGTGGTTCTAAAGTCGTCGAGACTTTGCAAATAACTTTACAAATAGAAAAGAAACGATAAAATGACACTGTAAACGAAAATTTTACCTTGTTTACTCAATTCGACTATACCTTGTTTGTTTTTTTTGATTTTTATTTTAAAGTTTTTGACCTCAAACGAGGACTACCTTGTATACTAAACAATTGTTTCACCTTGTCTTAATCATAAAGATACCTTGAATTAATAAAATGATAAAAATAAATGATAAAATAAAAAGAAATTGATAAAATAAAGGGGAAAGCCTATCATTTACAAAAGAAAAAAAAAGCAAAAATCAATCAAAATTAATCAAAATCAATCAAAATCAATCAAAATCAATAAAATCAATAAAATCAATCCAAATCAATCCAAATCAATAAAATCAATCAAAATAGAATCACCAAATAAAGCTAATCTGATGCGGAGTTGCTAGTTGAAATGATTTGTTACTTTTAGTTACTTTTAAAATACAGAAAAAGATCGGAAAGCCTACTTACAAGAAAAGCTCACACAAAAACAAAGTGCCTGAGTTTTGTGAAAAAGGAGGTTTAAGAGAAATCTATGTGAATGGAGCAAGGAAAGAACGGGGGAAACCGCCGAGATGAGCGAATGGGAGAGGACCTGTGCCGAATGCACCCATCATCTGGTGAGGGGTTGGCTTATCCTTAAAAACATTTCATTATTTCTAGTTTCTAGATTTTCATATCTATTTCTAATGCTTTTTTTGAGAACAATGACGCTTCGAGTGCCCCGCGAACACTTTTTTTTGCTTTTCTTGTTTATTTGAACTTTTGCTTTTTCTAATTCAAATATCCTCTATATTTAGCGAAAGTTTTTCAGCTAAAATCATGAAAAATCAATCATTTTCTCCGGGAGTGGGACAAATGCGACCTTTTTTTTGCGCACCCGGACATTTGCGCACCTTTTTTTTCCGCACCTTGCCCATTAGCGCACCTTTTTTCGCGTTTTAAAAAAGCTCTAAAAGCTAATATTAACCAATTTCTATTCCAAAAGTTGTTTTTCTAGGTAATTTTAGGGCGTAGAATCGAAATTTTGACATATCAGAGCTTGTGGAAACAAACGGACGGAGTTATACAAAGAGAAAAATCGACAATAATTTGATCTAGCCGTTTTGTCTTTCAAATTGGTTCCACAAGCTCTGTTATGTCAAAATTTGAATTCGACACCCTCAAATTACCTAGAAAAACAACATTTGGAATAGAAATTGGTTAATATTAGCTTTCTAGAGCTTTTTTAAAACGCGAAAAAAGGTGCGCTAATGGGCAAGGTGCGGAAAAAAAGGTGCGCAAATGTCCGGGTGCGCAAAAAAAAGGTCGCATTTGTCCCACTCCCATTTTCTCCCACTTTTCAATCATTTTTCTATGCGCTGTTTTACGTTAAAAAAATATTTTAAATACCGTATTTCTTCGAATAGAAGACCGGGTAAAGAGTATGATCGCGTACTCCTGCGTAGCAGCCCTTTTTAAAATTTCTTTTCTGCATAAAAGCTTTCAATCAAGTACTATAGAGCTGGAAAATGGCTCAAAAATCTGTTAGCTCATGTCGTATTTTTGAGTCATTTTCCAGCCTTATAGCACTTCATTGAAAGCTTTTATGCAGAAAAGAAATTTTAAAAAAGGCTGCTACGCAGGAGTACGCGATGATACTCTTTACCCGGTCTTCTATTCGAAGAAATACGGTAAAAAGAAAATCAAATCATCCATAGGAACTAAACTAAAGGCCTAAAGGCAAATGAAAACACTCATTCAATTGTTTTTCATTCAATGTTTCCTTATATAATTTTTGGTGTTGCAATGAAATCTATCTAATGTATACACATGTCAAAAATATGGGCACACACATGAAAAATGGGGGAAGAAAAGGGGTTTTTTCTTTTTTTCTTTTGAAAAGAGATGGAAGGGCTATCGCCTAAAGAAAGGCCATCGCCCTCTTTCTCATGAAATTTCTCTTGAAATTACCCTATGCTAAGATCGATCACCCGGCCTTGATTGAGCTTTTTTTTTGTTTCAACTTAAGAACAATATTTATAGTTTCGATCTTTTTTATTTGACAACACTGACCTTGTTTTCCTTTTTGTGCTTCATACGACGATTCTGGAACCAGATCTTCACCTGAAATTGGAATGCGGTTAACAAGTTTGGCAAAGCAATCTATCAAAATGGTTAGCCGAGAAATCGTAAATTAAAGAGAAATAGACTTTTAACGAAAACATTTGTCAGCTCTTTTGTTAATGTAATATTCATTTTGGGTTAAATTTTGGTAACATTCGATACGAGATTTTCTTCTGCATCGAATGATAGTCAAAATAGCCAGAATCGAAGGGTTGGTGCTGAGAAAAAGACAAAAGAAAATCCTTAAATTCCCTTAAATCCAACGGCAAGCAAGAAACGACAATGTTTTCGTTACAAGTTTAGTAAGAAATCTTACAAATCTTACAAAATATTGTCTTTTTCACCTGACGTTCGGTGAGCATCAACGAGTGAGCGATTTCTATCCGTCGCTTTCGAGTGAGGTACTTGTTGAAGTGAAATTCTTTCTCCAATTCCAATACCTAAAAAATGCTAGCATTTTTCACATTCTGAAATACATTTTACAATTTCCATTTAAACAAAATATGATAAAACGATGAAGATTTTCATGTTTACCGGTTAATTTTCATTTCATGACCGTCTCTCGCTATTATCTAGACCAAAACATCAGAAAATTTGTTTACTTAGGGTTTTCGGGGGATGGGGAATTCGAAATTTGGTTTTTCGTTTTTCGTTTTTCGTTTTTCGTTTTTCGTTACAGTAAACCTAAACACTTGAAATAAGGTGTTTTTGCCATTTTAAGTCCTCAACTTCGACATTGGAGTAACTTTTTTTTTTCCTATTTGAGCGTTTTTGATGTTCTTGGTACAGTCCGTTTCATATTTCTTTATCCACCCCCCAAAAAGAGGTTTTATGGAGAATGGGTGGAGATATCCAGCTATTTTCTTTTGCAATAGAAAGATCACATTGTAAAACCCTAAAAACACCGTTTTTGGGTTACTGGATTTTCTCAACAAAAAAAACTAAGAAAGAGGATTCTCCGACCGTTTCACATTTCTTTATCCACCCTTAGGAACTTTGAAAATCAACATTTATTTAGCATTAACAACAAAAAGGTATAAAAAGATGCCTAAAATTTCTTCTAATAAAAAGAAAAGAAAGAAAATATTGAAAACTAACAAAGTTTGTTAGTTGATCGATTTCTTTGGTTATTCGGAATCGTATGCTATTTATTTGGATCGTATGCTAGACGTTTATGTAAAATGATAAACATTTTCATGCGTTTTTGATGTTCTTGGTATAAAAAGATGCCTAAAATTTCTTCTAATAAAAAGAGAATTGAAATTCCATTGAAATTGAGGCTTGATAGGACAATGGGCAAGACTTTTGACTTTTGAGGGCAAGACTTTTGCATCGAAGTGTATCAAGTGCATCAGAAAGTGGGTGTTTGAAAATGTTTTTAATGTTTTTTCTCATATAATCAGGTAATTTTAAAGTTGAAACTGTAGTGTTTCGGCAAATTTTGATTCCTGCTCAAACGTTGAAAATAATGAAAACTAAGCGCGTTGAAAATATTGAAAACTAACAAAGTTATTAGTTGATTGATTTCTTTGGTTATTCGGCATCGTATGCTATTTATTTGGATCGTATGCTAGACGTTTATGTAAAATGATAAACATTTTCATGTTTACGTAATCGTGAGGCTTCTGGCATATAGCTTTTAGTTATAGAAGACAGAAATAAGGCTCTGTTTAGTTTCTTTTTAATCAATTTTCGTTTAATTATCCAAGTTTTTAAGGCTTGGTAGTTCATAAAAGAAAATTAACGACGAATCCTTGAAAAGTACAAATATTCATGTTGATCCGGTGCTAAAATCGGTCTAAGAAACGAAAAAACCAAAAAATGACATTGTGTTAATCGATCTTGATCATTTTTTTAATCAATCGAATCGAATCAAATCAAAAAAAATCACCTGATTTCTCGTGTAAGCGGTGCGTTGTCGTTTCTCGCCTCGACCACTATCTAAATTTCTTTTGTCAGTATTGTTTACTACTTTATTTTTTTAAAATATTCTTTAAACAATAATAAAATCTTTAATCAGTTTTTTTCAATGTTTAAAGCCGAAATTTGGGGGAATCGGTTCCCATGCAATCACTCATTTCCCCATGTCTTTTACTCCTTTCCATTTTCATGAAAAATGCCGGAAAATTAGCATTTCTCTCTTTGTAAGCCAACAAAAATGATACTCTCTTGACAACGATGAGAAAAAGGAATCTGTTTTGATTTAGAAATTTAGAATTTAGAAGAAAAGGAATCTGTTTTGATTTGTTTTGATTTGTTCAAGACTTAAACAACATCAGGATTTATAGACAGCAGCAGAAAAATAGACCCACTTATTTCATAAAGTAAACTGCTCAGGTTCAGTGTTCAGTGGGCATAACTCTTTCAGTTCAAGCTTTCAAATATCTTTGACAGCTTAGGTACTTCATTTAGGTACTTAAAGTTTAGGTACTTAAAGCTTAGATCCTTTATATTCATGAGGATCTACATTCTTGAAGTGATAAAGTATTGTATAAAGGGATTTTATTAAAGCAAATGATCCCAAAGTTACTGTACTCATTGGTGAGCTGTCGGCAAGAGTTATGGGGTGATGGGCAGCGCCTCCAAATGACCCTCATTGTGTTTGGGCAACTAGTTGTAAAGCAAAAGGAGGTCCAATCGACTCTTTTCCCCCCGATAGAAGCGGTTTCTTCCCTTTGATCTTAAACGGATCTCCGTTGATCGATCGATGTCACAACAAATTGTGCCACCTGATATAAACAAAAACTCTTCTTTACCCTAAAATCTCTAAAAAGAGACGAAAAAATGACCCCATTCGATAGGAAAAAACGAATAGTAAGATATTATACAAGAAATTTAGCCAGTCGGCTATGGGTCCCATAGCCGACTGGCTAGGAGCCTTGTATGTTAGGCGGGAGGTCAAGGGTTCAATCCCGCCGGCTAGGTTATTCATTTTTTTTCAGATATATGGACAATCTTTTTTGAAATGTCTCTTTCCCTTTCCCAGTCTCCTTTATTGGTAAAATATAAATCTTTAAAAAGAAAATTCTTTGACAACAATCAAACTACAGTTACGAGTTTTTTTGTGTGTGCAATAGTCTGGAAAAATCCCCCGTTACAAAAACTATGCGAAACGCCTCGCAATATAGGGTCATTTGTGTAGCGATCGAGGAGCGAGATAAGTAATTGAGCGAAAATTCTCTTTAAAAAAAGGAAAAAAGAGACAAGATTTGAGAAAAGAGGAATAAGGTAACTACGGTAAAGAAAATGAGAGAGTAAACTTCAATTAGGTTATTGAAAAAGTTTCAATTATTATAAAACTGTCTTGCGGGTTCACTGGTTTACTGTCTTGCTGGTTTACTAGTTTACTGTCTTGCGGGTTTACTTTCTTTCGTATTCTTTCGCTTTTCTTGGTTTAACTTTTAAAAATTGTCGAAATTTCAATGTCAAAATGTCAAAATGTCAAATTGTCATTTTATCCAGTTTTAACCTGTTTCAAGACTTTAAAAGCTTTTTTTTCCTTTCTAGAATAAAATAAAAGCTATCGAAATCAGAATCAGAATCAGAAAGATATCAGAATAAAAACAAGAGTAAATGTTTCCCCAAAAAGAAACTACCGTAAATACTGTAATTGGACCCCACCCCCCTAATGACGGTGCGGAGTGTTGCGTGGTCTAGCTTTGAACGAGTTTTTCTCGACACTGGTTTATGTTACAATGCGCGCTTAGGTATCAAAAAATAGCCCTGAATTTCAGCTATTTTTTGATACCAAAGACGCATTTTTTGAAAGTACGAGCGCTTTGAAAAAAATGAAATACTAAAAACTTTTGCGACTACGCAACTGTACGATGGCGGTGGGGTACTATTACAGTATTTACGGTATGTATTATAGTAATAAGCTAAGCAAGACTGTTTTCTGAAGTGTAAATAGTTTAAATTAACAAATTAAGGGTTAGTTTTAGCTTTAGAAAAAGATACTGGTTGTGGAGTGGACTCGGGTCATCCACGGGTAAACGACAGTCCCTTTCGGCATTCCCGAATCGTCATCCGATTCTCCGCTACCGTCCTGAAAACATAATATTATATTACTAATTGTTTTCATCGCTTACTTCATCTTTATCTTTCTTTCTTTCTTTCTTTCTTGGATTTGAAATCAATACTCATCTTCATCTTTCTTGGATTTGAAATCTCATTACTTATTATTGAAAAGATTTAAAATTGATTGACTACTTTGAGAAGTTATTATCTTATTTGTTAGTTTTACACATTATAGCTTCACAACTCTAGAACTTTACGCTGATTTTACGATCGATTAAAAAACAAAACAATCTATTCCTAGAAAAACAACTTATAAGCAAACCTTATATTTATCTTATAAGCAAACCTTATCCTTATCGTCTTTGTTGTCCTTTTGCCAATCGATTCCTGGCGGCTGTGGATAACACGGCAACGACTGAAAATCGAAATTATACACGAAAGTCTACAAGTTGTCTATAAGAAATCTTCATTTATCTTCAACTCTCACTGAAAAGAGATTTTCATGAGCTGGTCGGAACTTCGATTTGTCTCCGTAATGGAGGCTTTCAATCTTAACGGGTGATGAAGAGTTGAGGAGGATCCCTTGCCTTTCTTTCTCTTTCAAATCCCCCGATCAACACCGCTCATTTACAATCTTCACGATCGGTGGCCCGACTTTGAGAAATCTTTCTCTGTGCTCTCCAAGCCTTTCTTCTTTTCAAATCTTTTCCAATCTTTTCCAATCGATTCCCAGTTTTCATTTCGACAGTTGGTTGGTCACATTTGTTTATTATTAAAGTTGAAAGGGTTTTTCAACAAGTACAGAGTTAAGGATTATTGAAAGAGAGCTTCAGTGTAGTCTAGAAAGGAAAAAAAAGAAGCCTGGCCATGACTGGCTTAAGTTACATCCAAAATCAAAAGATACATCATAAGTTTTAATATTTCCGCAACTATCGTACTCTCTGCTGCTTAATACTGTCGCAACTATCGTACTCTCTGCTGTCAGAATCTGTCAAGAGAAAATTTTGACTCAAACATTATCTCTCTCCTTAAAATCTTCAAAATAATCAACGAGATCTTTCCAATTTTTAAAAAATCTTAAATTAACGATGTGGAGTAAATTGGAATTCAAATTTTTGGGAAGGAAAAGCTGCAAAGCGGTTTCCATGAATAGCGAGCTCGTCAAAATCGGTTTCCAAGTGGGATAACAGTTGCGACGTGAAAGCTTGGCAGAAGGCGCACCAACGAAATTAATGGCATTGTCACGGGCGGCCGACGGGACGTTTTCAAGAGGGGAAAAGGGATGTAAAAGGGAATAGGGACCCATTCCTCAACGTCTCCCCCTTCAGCTCTTACCCCTATTCTAAACCACGATGACCACCTACTTTCCTTATTCGAAAATCGTGATATAAGATTTTAAAGATTAAGAAAAAACGTCTCAACACTAGAGAAGATTTAACACTAGAGAAGATTCTATTAAGAATAAGGATCCATTCCTCAACGTCTCCCCTTCAGCTCTTTACAATTTTCAATTATTTTTTTAAAGAAAATCGCTGGACGAATCGTTTTCAAATTTTACAGACTTATGTAATCAAATAAGCTCTATCTTTTTTACTTTAGCATCAAAATATGTTTGTATTGAAGAAAGCGTCCAAATTGCGATTTCGGCATTTGAGTGCTTGCCTTTGCGCCTTTGAAAATCCACAAAAATAACAACTTTCAAGAATTTCCCAAAAGCCATTTTTGAAGAGAAACAATTAGCGTTTTTAATAGTTTAAAAGAAGTATTCACTGTTTTTAGGGCTGCTGAACCGCCTCCACAATCATACAAGGAGCAAGCGTCACCACAGCCGGCCAAAACAACGCCATCACCGAGACCCGCTTCACAAGTAAGTTGAACAGTTTTTATTAGGTTAATGCAGTAAGTCTTTACAATTTTTTTTCATAAAAAAGAATATTTTACCAAATTTGTTGCGTCTTAAACTATTAAAAAAACATTTCTCTACATTTCTCTACAAAATGGCTTTTAAGAGAAAGCTCAAAGCTCGCGCCTCAACTCGGTAACGCATTTTTATGTTAAATTTTCAATTATTGTTTTAAAGAAAATCGCTGGACGAATCGTTTTCAAATTTTACAGACTTATGTAATCAAATAAGCTCTATCTTTTTTTTACTTTAGCATCAAAATATGTTTGTATTGAAGAAAGTATCCAAATTTTGACTTAAGCATCGGAACAGTTTTGAGTCTTTTGAGTCCTCGCCTTTATATCTTTGAAAATCCACAAAAACAACAACTCTCAAGAATTCCGCAAAAGCTATTTTCCAGAGAAACAATTAACCTTTTTAATATTTTAAATGGAAATTTTGTTAGTGGTAGCATTATTTTTTAAAAAAACGTTTTTAAACAAAAAAAAAATTGTAAAGATTTAAGCACTAGTTTAATAGAATGATTCTGGAAAAGCCCGAGGAATTGCATTGTTTTTTTTTGTTTATTACTCCAAAAAAGAATTGAAATTCTAAAGACACCTGCTGATCTTGAGCTGTGCTTGGTTGGGGTAAAGCAGCGGACAAAAAGCCTCCGCCATTAGCGGCTCCCAAATAGGCCTCGCTGTAGCCGGGGTAGAATGGATTCGACATCTAAATTCACAAATTTCTTTGCCTTTTTCAAAACCCAAACTTGTCCAAGCGTGGCTGCGAAATCAGTGACTGATGAGAGGCCGGGCGGGCCGGAGGCTGTAGAAGCCATGGAATGTGGACGTGCTGGAGTGGACTGTGGGGCTTTGGAGGCTCGACGGGTACGCCTGAGAATAATCAAATGTTGAGACAAGCATCAGCCAGGAGGAGAAAAAGTGGCCACTGGAATGGAGGTGTCCTGAGAGGGCAGAGAGATGGATTTGGGGGAGGGGGGGGGGTCGATCAGTTGAACGAGCGCCTCTCCACAACATTGAGGAAGAGAGGGGAGTAGTGCCCCGCCCCTTTTCCCTTGCATCCACCAATCGGCATCCTTTGAGTACACGGTGGCCACCATGGTTGTGAAAAAAATGGGTGATTCAAATGAGTTATGATTGCCATTAGAAAAAGTGATTCATAAGAGAGAAGAGAAGTTGGAAGAAGCAAGGAAGATGAGGATTTTTAGAGTTTTCTTTCGATTTATACAATCATTATGGCTGAAAAAATATTATAAATGGAATAAATGACGATAAAGTTCTATAGATAATAGAAATTGGCTTGAGAAAACTTTGGAAGAAGTTGGAAGAAGTTAGGAAGAAGCAAGGAAGATGGGGATTTTGGAGTTTTCTTTCGATTCATTTAATCATTATGGATGAAAAAAGATGATAAATGAAATAAATGACAATAAAATTCTATAGATAATAGAAATTGGCTTGAGAAAACTTTGTGAAATGTTTTTGTAGAGGATTTGAAAACATTAGGAGTTCAGAAAGTTAAAATCGAAAAGTCAAAGTTCAAGTTTTCAAATAAAACGTATCTGGTGCCAAATGCGGAGACAAGGACAAGAACTGAATTGTTGGCGGGTAATTTCGAGTGATTTCGGTCGGGAGGAGTGGCGTGCTCATTCTTCAACGGGGGTTTCAAAGACACTCGCCGACTTTTCTTTTCTCACACGCCATTCCACCGCTTCCGTTCTATAAAAAGTCATCTTCTTAGACTCATTATCACGCTTTCTTCTGCTTTTTCTTCACTATTACAGAATTTGAATAAATCTATCTAACAAATAGTTTCTTTTATTACTGATCTGCTAGCTTACTGACTACTCCACTTAATACTTAAGGTTGAAGAAAAAGTCCTGACTCAGCTGTGTAAAATTCAATTTTTATGTGGACTTTAATAACAAAAATAAGAAGAATTATTCCTCAAAGTATAGCCGATGATTATCTAGGACTTTCTGCCATCGATCTGCAAGCTTTTGAATCTGGTCTTCTTCTTTGATTTCGAATCAAAAGAACTCTTGGCAAGCTTCTTCAACTTCTTCAAATGTTTCCGTTTCCAGCAATAGCGGAACAAAACTCGAAGCTCTTTTTCTTGGGAACTTATCTGGAATAAAAGATGAAGATTGGTACAACAATATAATCACTAAAACCAACCAAAAACCACACAGCTGAGTCAGAACTTTTCCTCAAACCTAATATGATTATTTTAGATATTTTATCGTTAAATGCACATTAGAATGTAAGGATTTGCCTCTAAACTACACTCTCAATCTTTCAAAAACGTTTGAGTTTAAAAACAATTAGACCGTTTGGCATACTATTCAATTATATTCATTTAAAAGCACTACTCCGTGTGTCCTCCACTACCCGATTGTCTCTCAATTCCCTAAAGAACAAAAACAAAACGATATAAAGGATTCGATTTGGATGGAGAGAAAGGCGTTGTCTCTGTGTGTACCCAACAAGATGTCTATCTATCGACCATTCGATGCGAGGGAAGAGTGGGGGAAAGGGATATGGAGGAGAATGGGTTGAGGTGATGCCCCCAGCTGTAAATCATCACCGTTCTCCTCCATTTCATGTGATCGAGAAGTGGGACTAACCTAATATATATATATATGGAAAAAGAAAAACGGGGAAATCGTTGATCAGCGATTAGATATCGCACAAAGAATTCTCTTGGTGAAAAGTTTTTTTTTTCATACGAGTAATTAGTGAGTAAACAGTTCGAATAGAACACAAAATTTTGTTAGATTTGTTAGCTAAATGTTTGAGTTAAAGAATAATCACAAGATTGGACAACTGGATAAATGGACAACTGGACAACTGACTAGAAAACCGTCTTCGTTCATGTAAAGCTTTTGTTGCTGAGACAAAAACCCAAAGAAAACCAACTCCTATAACTATGCAAACCCTTGCTAACATCATAAAAACTTAAAAACTATATAAACCAAAGTTTGTGAGTGTCGAATGATGTAGTTGGTAAATCTTAAGAATGGAATGGATAAGGGTGGAGTGTCAGAACGGCGAGAGAACCACGATGGATTAGCGCCAACTTATGGCAATCAAAGGATACCGCCGCGATGGGTGACCGTGTCGCTGAGATCGACGAGAATCTCCCAATCATTCATCCAAATTCTCTTGTATCTTTGCAAAACTCCCATATTTCATTCTCCTAAATACTCCGATAGATTTAGGGCCAGCAGCTATATCAAGTAATGAGAAATCTAATTTCTTTGTAATACGATATAAAGAGCAAGCTTTATGAATGGTTTGAAACTGTTTTCAAAGCATCAGTACTTCTCAGAATAATATTTGAATTGGTTTTAGAATTTGGGTTGGATTGGGTTCAGTATTTGGATTCGATTGGGTTTAGAATTTGGATTGGATTGGGTTTAGAATTTGGATTGAATTGGGTTCAGTATTTGGATTGGATTGGGTTTAGAATCTGGGTTGGATTGAGCTTAGAATCAAGTCAAATCAATAAATCAAAGTTTAAACGATCCAAGACAACTTTTCTTTAATTTAAGCCAAGCTCTAATAGAATCAGATTCCATTATCTGCATCAAAAGTTAGATTCAATATCTAAACAATTAATTCAAGACCATTTCTGAGTCATAGTCTTTTTAATGTATCAGACTAGCTCAAAATTTTAGAAACAAGTAATGAAAATAGTCAAAAACCTTGTAAAAACCATCCAAAATTAAAAAATAGTTCATAAATTAGATTCTCGTCGGCAAACTTGAGTGGAATATGGGTGATAGTGAGAAAAAGAAAGAGGAAAAGTTTTGGGGAGGTTGTCGGTTGAAGCGATGAGCGATGGGCAACGGTCGAAAGCCATCGCTTTTGCTTCAAAAGGAGTTGGGGACACTTTTGGGGTCTCTTGCAAGAAAAGTTTCCCTCTTTTCCTTTTCCATTCACCACTAAACTCCTTTAGAAGCCGATCAACTCTATGAGATAGCCATCCGATGACATGCGAGTCACACAAAGGGAAAGCCGCGTCTCTGCAAAACTTGAAAGCTTGGCGGCTTCTAGTGAATGAAAGTTATTGTTATTACCCTAAAGTCTCGAGTATAAGTTCTGCCTTAATTTACATTCGCTTTAATTGCTTTGAATTTCTTTTGTTGGGTTTTTATACATTTTTATTGTTATATAAACTTTTATTATTGTTCTTGGAGCGCTGGGATACTACAGGGTGACAGCCTATCACCATTGCTATTTGTTATGTGCATGGATACATCCAGACGATAGTGTTGAAGAAGACGCTGGAAAGCATCTCTTTCGACCGTCAACGTGAACTTTGGCCGGATGAAGAGGCCAGGGAGGGATCCATAAGACTGAGCACCGGAGAGGAGCAGGGCGGATGCGCCGAGCCACGCCCGGAGCAACAAATAACAGCATAAAATTGCTATAACCCTCAATAAATTTACTTCTATTATTGTTCTTAAAAAGCAAAAAAGTTATGCTGCGACGGGATTCGAACCCTCGACACACCGCGCCGGAGACAGCCGTCAATTTGCATGCGAAAACCAAACAGAACTTATACTCGCGACTTTAGGGTAGTTGAAATTTGTTTAACAACTCACTTTCTACAATATTTGATTAATCTTCAATAAGATTAGAACAAAAAACAAATCAAAACCGTTACCCAAAGTTCGTCGAAATCAAATTTTATCAGTTTACTTTTAATCGAAAAATCAACTCATCTTCAATCAAGTTCAATTTTTTACAGTAAGAGTAAGTACAGTTTTACAGTAGGCTAGAAAAGGTTAAACAGCAATTGTCAATGTGTAAATCAAGAAAAAAAAGTGATGGGATTTATGGGAAAGATGATGGGTAAGAGACGGGCCACATATTATCCCCTTTTTCTACGATAACCACGTGTCCAACTATTGTGACACCCTTTGACACCTTGGTTCAACATAGAATTCAAACGGAGATTTACGATTTGACATCCCTGGCAACTGTTCGTTTTTTTTATTGAAATGGAAACTTTACAGGTCTTTTGTTTCATATCAAGAAATGAAATTGCAAGTAAAAAAAGTCTATAAAAGCTTTCTAAAATCGAGTTTCTGCTGGATACACGGATCTGGATCAAGATTGAGCCTAAGCAAAGCAAGCGATTCAAATAAAATACTGTATATTCATTTATTAACAATGAAATGCTAATAGTAAGATCTAAAGGATTGTAATAAACCTTTAGATCTTACTATTATAATAATCTTACTATTGTAATTGTTGTAATAACCGTCTCAGGGCATCAATTCCAACAACTATCTCAACATCTTCTGTTCTGAAAGATCTTCTGAAAGACCTTCTGAAAGAAGAAGTTCTGAAGAAAGATCACTTGGAAGAAGATCTTTCTTAAGATCTTCTTTCAAGTGAGCCAAAAATCACTTTGACAAGAGGATTTGGTGTTTTATACATGTGCTTATGCTGACAAGGCTCAAGTGGTTCAGTCCTAATTTCGCCACCTCAAGCCCCGATCTTTATCCAATGAATTTCAGTGTTTGGAATATTCCTGAAAATATTTTTCCTTGTTTAATAGATCTTTAAAAATTGATTTTTAAAGTTTTAAAATCAATTTGTAAAGTTTTAAAATTGATTTCTCTTTTATTAGTTTCTATTCTTAAAAATTGATTGCAAGAATCCTGTAGTTATTTTTAGTAATTAGGTTAAGCAATTTAGGCGACGCTCAGGGTGCACTACTATTAGAGAGAATACGGTAATCAATATTTTCTATTTAAACCGTAGATCAATCGATAAACTTTTCATTTCTAAAAAGATTTATAAAGAA